GCAGGTTAACCTGCAGTTAGTATTATTATCCTGTTCTTTAGTTAGTTAGGTTTTTTGCGATTTTTCTTTTTTGTTTATTTATTGTTTTGAGATCTACTTATTTTGTTAAAAAGAATAGTTAAAAAGAAAAAGAAGAAAATACTAATAGAACATTGGCAAATGCAAAATAAAGAGAATGAACTAGCTGTTAAAATTAATAGATGTAAGAGTTGTACAGAAAATAATGAACAATCAGAAGATAGTTGCTAGCAATGAATAAGGATAAACAACAAAATAAGTATAATTCCAAATACTTTAATAGAAAAAGGCAGCAACAAGAACAAATTAGCAATAGATCAAATAATAAAAATAACAAAGATAAATAAACCAAAAATTAGAGAGCAGAAGCTTAAAGGGCTAAGAACAATAGAAGAGTTAGAAGTAGAAATAATCAGATGACAAAATTTAAAAAAGAACATTGCTTAAGAAATGATAGAAGTTTTAAGAAGAAATACAAAAGAAACAAAAACAAGTTTACAATATATACAGATAAAACAGTGAACATAAAGACTAAAGAAAATTTAAGAAATAAAAGTAGTATAGGTATAAGATAGGTGCAAATTGATAAAACACAAGAATGGCCAGAAGAGGAGTTAGCAATAGGACTAGAAGAATGGCAAACATCAACAATAGCAGAATTAGTAGTGATATGGGTAGCAATCCTAATAATATCAAAAAAAAAACAAATAGAAATATATACAGATAGCAATGCTGCAATAAGAAACATTAACAGAGGTTTGAAACAAGTAGACAAAAATAAGATTCTCAAGAAAAAAATGCAATATGGATAATGAAAATCAAAGATCTTATTATGATAAAAAACATACAAATAGAGTTGTTTAAGATTAAAGATCATAGTAAAGATAGATAAAATAACAAAGCAGATAGTCTAGCAAAAAAAGATGCAACAAGTAAAAGAACAATACAGGCCAAAGAAGTCAGTTGCAAAGAGATAGAATACTGCTTAGGGTGGAAAAACAAACATACTGACATACCAGCAAGATTGCTCTGCAAATTAATAACAAATGCAAGATTAAGAACAAAATGAAAAGAAACAAAAGCAACTAAAGAATTAGAACCAGAAACAGAAGTTATAGTTCATGATTGGACATACTTTTGGAGAAGACTAAAGACAATTAAAGAAGTACATTACATAATAAGAAAAAGTAGTGTCAGAAGAAGTGCATTTATAAAGTGTATAATAGAAAAGCTTCTAATATTAGAAAAGCTTAACAAGAAAAGACCAGATATATACACAACAACAGAGTGCCAAATGTGCCAATACAAAACAAAAAAAACACAATCACATTTGGCAGCATGTAAAGGACAAAGAAATCTTTGGAAAAGGATCCAAAAAGTGACAATTGCAACAGCCTAGAAGGGGCTGAAAAAAAAAAAAGTTTGAGTCTCTTCATATATGTTATACATAGCACTTTTTGGAAAAACAAAAGTAGAAGAAGTTAAAATAAGAGAGGTACTAATCAAAGGTCTTATCCCAAAAGAAATACAGGATAGATTGAGGCAGCTTCTAAGTACAAAATCAAAACAGAAGTTTTTGAACATAATAGCAAGAACATCCTGGGACACATTTTATAAACAAGTATAGAGAATTCATTTTGAGAAAATTAACAAATAGGAGAAAAAAAAAGAAATATCGAGTAGAACAAAAAAAGAAGAAAGAAAGAAAAGTATCAGGGAAAAAAGAAAAACCAAATTGACAAATAATAGAAAAAAGAAAAGAAAAAGTGAAAGAAAAAGAAAGACAAATCAGAAATGAAGCATAGAAGACAATTCTAGAGCTTGTTATGAAAGGGAGAAGGCCCTTTTATTATGGACTTTAAGTAATTAGACAAGCAGCTTAATTTTGCTTGAAGTAATACAGCAGGTTGCTATTAGAGTAGCTAAGTGATACTGGACTTAGTTGTTAAAGATATTTATATAATTGCAAATGTAATTTCAAAATCTTAATAAAGTACTAGCATGACTACTTAAGGGAAAAAAAAAGACAAAATACAATAATTATACTATCTAGTACAATGCAATTAACAATGCCCTTAAGGCAATTAAAATCACTAAAAATAATTCTAAAACCCCAAGCACCAGAAGTATCATGCAGAATTATGGTCTTTCAGAAGCTATCCTTAGGTATGTGATAAAAAATGATAGTCCTCTTACTCGTCTGAACTATGCTAAAATTCTAACTGATTATGAGAAAAAATAGCTTATTGGTTACTGCTTGAATATGTAAAGACTTGGCTTTGGGTTAACTAAATCTGGCATAAACCAATGCATTATGAATATCATTCGTAGAAACAGGTGACCTTATCTTTTTGATAAGAATAGACTGAGCAAAAGTGGTGGAAGTGCTTTATGAATGATCACCTTGAGCTTTCATTTTGCATCTCACAAGTTCTGAATGAAGCATGCACCCAAAAAGCAAATCCTGTTATTGTCAGGGACCATTTTAATAAACTTCAAAAAATCATCCATGAATATTCACTTATTACTAACTGAATTTGGAATATGATTTTTTTTTTTTACATTTATCTTTTTTTTTTGCTTTTTTATTTTGTATTTTTTTTTTTTGTATTTTATTTTTTTATTTTTTATTTTTTTCTTTTTTTTCTTTTTTTTCTTTTTTTTTTTAAATTTTTTTTTTCCTTAGGATAAACCAAATTTTGGTATTGAACCAAGACTTCAAAAGGTCATAGCAAAAAAAAACACATGTCAAGTCTATTAGGTTTTATATGGCAGCTCTCATGAATATATTTACTTATGTTCAACTATTTTAGCTGCTGAAACATATATCCTACTACTCTTCATCTTCAAAGAAAAATGAACAATTCCAGGCCTTTTAGGTGGCACTCTTGCTGGCTCTGTCATAGGATTTACTGAGATGGAGTATATGTGAGAGAGCCTATTTCAAAAATACATTAACCATTTTGTTAGTTCTGTCCATTCTGCATATTCTGTTTTATTAATTTTAAATGGCTATAAGAGTCATGTCAATTATACTAGTGTTAACTTTTGTTATAAGAACAATATTCTTTTTTACATGCTTCTTCCTCATACTACTCACATTTTACAACTAGCAGAATTACTATTTGCTATCTTAAAAAAAACCTATAATAAAGAATATAATATGTTTCAAGTTAATAACAATAGCCAGCTTGTGACAAAGCATATGTTTGCTGAAGTTCTAAAGCCATTCTATATTACAACATACTCACCTACTGCAATATGCAATGCTTTCAAATTACAGAAATTTGGCCATTTAACCTCAATGCTATTAGTCCAGACCATTTAAAGCCCTCATTGACAACAGAATAAATCAATATTCTACAAACCCTTGGGTTGCCACCTTCATCTTCATCATCTTTTTTTTCTTTAGCTTCTTCATTCTCCTTTTCTTTGGCTTCTTTATCCTTCTTTTCTTTGGCTTTTTCAGCTTCTTCTTCCTTCTTTTCTTTAGCTTCTTCATTTTCTTTGTCCTCATCTTCGTTATCTCCAAGGTTGATCTCTAGTCAAATGCATCTTACAAAAAAAGTTCCTACAAAAAAAGAATTAATGTTAGAGATTAAAATGTTAAATAAAAAGATTAAACTTTTGAAAGAAGAGCTTGAAACCTACAAAAATCCTGGTACAATCCTTTTGCAGCTTGTGCTTAAGTATTCTTTGTGTTATATTTCATAACCAGTTGAAAATTTGAAGGCTGATAAAGAGGATCTTGGCTCTCTGCTACCAAAAAGGAAAAAAAGAAAAACTATGCTCTTTTATTAACTTCTCACAAACGAAAAATCTTTGCAAAAGTTAAAGAAAGTGAAAGAGGAGGCTGAACAAGCAGCCAATGAAAAATGACATAAAAAAGAGGCAGCTATTCAAAAAAGATTTGCATGTGAGACTAAAAAAGTACAAAAACAAGAAGCATGAAGACAAAAAAAAAGAAGAAACAGAACAGTTAAAGGCTGAAAAACAATATACTAAAGATACAAAACATCTTGAGAAAAAAAAATTTTAAATTTTACCTAATTTGTGATAGTGTGTCAATTTAAAAATAGTCTCTTAATGATTCTAGTTTTTGTACAAATACATATTTAGAATAGATTTTTATTTTTTTTCTTAAATACAATTTTTTTTTATAAATAAAGTTTATTTTAGAATATAATCTATTAAATTGAATCAAAAACTGGTATATTTTTATATCAAATTTATAAAGACTTATTATTGGTAAAATTAATTGCAAAAAAACTCTTTCTGCAAATCCATTGCACAAAAATTAACTAAAAAATCGTTCGTCTAAAAACACTTATATCTTTTT